CTTAAGAATTTGATCTGGTGGGGTTTACCTCTCCACCGCCCAGGTCACTGGTGGCTGTTCTGGGGTGTGGGTTTCAGCTGGTATCAGCCCCTGGTGCATCTCTGCCAGCAAACACTTACACTGCACAGGAGATACAAAGTGAGCTCAGCTGCAGGGGAATGGCTCTGGAGTGGCATTCAGAGGCAATGATTAAAGAGCTGTAAATTATGAAGTGTGTCAATTCCGGATACGCATTTAGATGGAGTTTGTCAGCTCCAGCTCTGGAATGTGTATCGCCCACAGAAACCATCCAGAAAAGCCAACAGACTGCTTTAAACCCCAGCGTGCGATGGGCCCCCAACTAGGATTTAATGGATTAGAGTAGCTGAAAAGGACCATCGCCATCATCTGGTTTTGTTTCCTATGCAACACAGCTGAAGAACTTCACCCACTCATTTCAGCATCAAAACCATAACTTCTGCTGAAGCTATTGCATATCTTTGGAAAGACACTTGCTCTTGATTTAGAGACTGAAAGTAATGCTAAATTTGCCACATTCCTAAGCCAACTGTTCCAGCCGCTAACTACTCTTGCTATTAAAAAGGCACACATCCAAGCTGGATTTATCTAGCTCCAGCTTCCTACAGTCAGGTCCTGCTACGTCCATCCCTGCTGTGGGATGAAGCAGACTATGCTCAGGTTTAAGCTGTAGGGACGACACTGGGAATCACTGCAAGCTTTCTCTTCTTGGATCATCTTGGAAATTTAGAAGATTTATGAATGGACAAATTCATTGAGAGTATCTTTCGCAAGAGAACAGCCAGAATAGCCCACCCAGCCTCTTCTGATGAAGCACTTCTGTAGTTTTTGTGTGCGTGTGTTTCTGTGAATGCTTTGTTTTGCTTTTAATCTGGTAGCTCTCGGAACACAAGGATGAGGAGATGCCGCTAAAGATGCGCTGCACTCCGAGCTCCCCTTAGCACACAGCCGCGTAATTCTGTGCATCAAAGCAGCAGCCTGTGTCACATCCAGCACAGCCACTGAACAATGTCCCTTTAGAAAGGGCACCGGGTGAGAGTAGCTTTATGACACTATTGATTTATCCTGTGCCTGCAGTTAAAAACTATACCCAGACAGACAATAAAAATAACTGCTCTAACCATATAACAGCTTCCTGCTACTAAAATGGATTTTACACTTAAAGTCATGGAGGGCTTTTCTTTCTTTCTCTTTTAAGTCTCAATTACTTTTTTTTTTTTTTTTTTTTTTTTTTAAATAAATGGAAATGAGAAATTGTGAGAGCTGCTTCAGTCCTGATATTTTCCTTCTCTTCTGACACCCTCAGTGCTTCTTTTTTTTTTAAAAAGGATTACTTTCCTGTCACGCAGTTATGCTGCAATTGCACCCCATAACCAGGTATTAATCAGGCCAGATAGTTTAGTGCAGACTTCCTGCATGCAGAAATATGCAGTTGAAGTGGTAATCTGGAATGGATTTACCATATAAAATCAAATTGATTATGGTCTTTGTGGTCAATTGGATGAACTGGGATTGATGTTCTAGCATTAGATTCAAACTTGAAAATAATATCAAAAGCAACAGGATCGTCCCCCTGAAAACCTCTTCTAATTCAAAGGACCCCATTGGAGGGACAGGGATGCAGATTGAGATTTATGCAATTTATCTTTGCTGCCCTGAAACTGGTGTTTAAGCAAGTTGCTGACAAGTTTGTGTGCTAGCATGTGCTCAGAAAAACACCTCAGAAAAGGGAAAAGGAGGGTGAATCTGCTCTTCAAGTACCATTCCCTTTCTATTGTTTTTATGATTCAGGAGACATTGCCTGAATGACACACAATGCGAGATACTCTAGTGTGGCCTCCTGTCCCTGGAGACACTCTCAGAAATTAAATGATTGTGTGGTGGGGATTTTGTAAAAGCAAGCAAATAGTGCAATAAATGAACATAAATTCACAAAACATCGGTGGGAAAATCAAGAATAGGCTCTTAACTGGGGGGTTTTCTTCCACATATTAAGATGAATTAACTACCTTGCTTTAAAATTAAATCATTATGTCTTCCAGATATGGTTTTATTTTAATCTGTAAAACACTCTAACACGACTGTTACACATACAACCTTGTGGAAATTCTGTGATTTCACACGATCTCCAATCCAGGGAGGGAAAACCTATGACTTTTTGCAGCTTTGCTCTCACATGTCTGTTTGGTGACTTCAGCACTGGAAACCTTAACATCAGTTTTTGCACCATTGTCTGGTGAAGCGCCCAGGTCGAGTGACACTGCAGATATGGACCTTTTTTTGGTTTCTCTGATTTTCACATAGTGGATAGCAGATCATAACAAAGGCAGAAGTTAAAATCTCCTCTTAGATTACAGACTTGATTAATAATGTTCATCCCATCTTCCACTCATCCAGTCCCTATGATTACACCACCTCCCTCACACAGGATTCATTTCCCAGTGAATCACCTCTCTCTGGTACTCACTTTCACTTGTACTGCTTTTTGTCAGTATGGCAATTTTGTATCCTTGCAATCACTATTCCCTTCTGAGAGCCACCAGCACCTGGTCAGTGTTGAACAAGGTGGATGATACAGTTGACTAGCAGCCTACTGAGTTTTTGCCTGGAGCAACCCTTGGTTGGTTTGGAGGTGCTATGGAACCCCTTCACAAAACCCGCATTGTTGGCTCCCTGTATGGCAGCAAAACTCAAGATCAGATGCCAAAGGATCAACTTTTTCCCCGTTCATTGCAGAGGGGTAGGACTAGATGACCTTTAGTGGTCCCTTCCAACTCAAATGATTCAATGATTCTGTATTTCTATGATCTTTAAAGAGACTCATCATCTATCACAGAAAGCTTCACCTGAGCTCCATCAGCCTTCAGTGAAATCTTGACCTCTCTGAATCGAAAGATAACTGGGAGCAGGATTTCTCCTTCCAAGTCCTCACTGCTCTGCAATGCTGAAATAAATCCTTATGGGGGAGTGATCCCTTCTGGTGCTTTTCAAAGCCTGCTCTTTAGAGTAGCAGATATATTTATATTGGAGGTGGGTTGCTAAGCACAGTAACTACTACATAGGAGCTAGGCACAACAAACCCGCTCCCCAGGTTTGACTCTGTGCTTAAATACAGCTACGTGGGTGTAGATGGCTGCATAGCTCAATAATTGTGGTAGCATATAAATCCTGAGCAGGAAATTATTTAAGGTAGCTATGGCACCTGAGAGTTTGCACTGCGAGGATGCTCAACTGGGGCTGCTCAGAAGCAATAAGGAGGCTGCTGTGCTTCATCCTGAAAGGAAAACATTCTGCATGCCTGCTGGTATAGGTGAGAATACAAGATGCTGCTCAGGAGATGAAGTAGGATAACAGGCCACAAAGCAGCCTGGCTCAAAGGGGAAAAGGCCATGTCCCACCTGGTGCAGCCCCATGCCAGACTGATCTCACTTACAGAGCGTGAGTGCTCACAAACTTATGCCAACATCACATCTTTGAATTTGCACAGTTCTGGGATTTCATGCTATATCCAGGAGGTTGTTTTGACATATGTTCCTAGAAGATTGAACAAATGTCTTCTGCCTCATTTCATCCCCCCCTCCAACACTGGCAAAAGAGCAGCAAAGGATCTGTATGTGCTGCATCGCTCTGTGCTTCCAGCTGGAAGTTTTTTCCGGGGAAGAAACTGGCTCAATAGAACAACACGGAGGTAAACCTGGGAGATCTGAGGGGATTCTGCTGCCTGCAGTTCCACGAGCTGGTCTTTGGGAAGTATTCTAAAGCTCACCAGTTCACTAGTGGGATGCCAGTTGCCAAGTGCTGCTATCAGTTGATTAAAACACAGCCTGCCAGCTTCCTGCTTGATAAAACTAAGTACAATCTGATTGGGAATTCTCAAATCCATTACAGAATGGCTAGCCCATCACTTAAATCAGCACACACCACTTTGCTATGAATCATCAACATACTTTGTTAATATACGTAGAGCAGCTAAACCCTGACAGCCCATCAAACCACCCCTGAGTGCCAGATTCTAGGGGGTGGGAAGCGGACAGAGCTTCAAACCACAAGGGTTTCCTGTTGTTCCGTGCTCAGCTGGGTGAAGGTCATTTCCTCTCTTCACTCCTGCAGAAGGAACTCAACCCTCAGCCCTTGAAGATACAGCAGCAGCCCCCTGCAAGGAGCCCTCTCCTGCATGGCCACACCAGCTAGGCAAGGTCACTCCCTAAAAACAGAAGTGCAGTCTTGTTATTTATCTGTTCTGCATGCTGTAGCACTGCCATGCAGTAGAAGAAAGGGGCATGCTGCCACTGCATTGAGGATAACCCACTAGTTGATTGGAAGCTTTAAACAAACAAACGAACAAACCCCACAAACAAAACACATCTTCCTTGTTGCCTTGTTTTTAATCTGCTGAGTTGGAGGTGGGTGCCCAACTCCAGATATACATCAGTGTTTGCGCATCAGCTGCAATGTATTCTTGATCATCACAATGTGATAGATGGAAGTGTAACACAAAGTGCTGTGGGGCCCTTGCTATCAAAGTAACAACACAGATATACCAGAAGAACACATCAACTACAGCAGAAAAGTGAAATCTTAGCACCTTAATTTCTTAGAACTTAAGAGATCTTGGGGAGGGAAGCAAACGATGCAAAAGCTTCTAGAGGGAGTGAGCAATGAGACTGGGAGGCCATTCATTACTGATCACTCGAGCAGCAGATAATGAAAGGAATGTTAGGAAGGTAATAAGTCCCAATCATAGGAATTCTCCAGTAATGCTCTGACAATACTAGCCTCCAATTCCACCATTCCCCTTCTGTGTCCTTTTACCTTCTCTCTCTTCCATGCCCCTCCTTCAGTTCTCCCTCTCCAATCTTTACATTGCAATTAAACACTTTAACATTTACTGAACATACATACAGACAACACAGCATTTCTATGTAAAATGACAATACATGTGTTTCCTTTTTTTTCTGGTGTAAAATCAGTGTAACACTGTATCTGGTCTCAACGCGTTTTATTTACAAGAAAACACGTAAGCAGGAGACAAATATCTTTTGTTTGACTGTTTCAGAAGCATAGACTATAATATTAGGGGTATTTCATGCCCCCTCTTGCATTGCTGAAAGTCTGGGAAGTCTCAGCAGAAGTGAGACTGACTTGGAATAGGTGTAATAAAGCAGAGATTCACAGGCATAGTTTCTTCACTTACGTTAACACAAAGCAAAAGGACAAAGAGGCTCCCCAGATTCTGCCCCCGAGGTCCAAATTTGAATATATATTTTTAAAGCTGGCCAAGCAACTGAAATTAAGCCTCACGTAATTAAGTTCCCGTAATTTGAACGGAATGTAGTCCTGGGAAAGTCAGCAGTATGGAAAAGTTATGGCAAAGCAGGTACATTGAATTTTTGGTGCCATTCCTGTCACATCAGAAGTCCACAAAGAGGAAATTTAGGATAAGTCAAGAGTTCTCAGTCTCTGGTGTGCAGACCCCAGATGTCCATGGGCTAAACCCAACAAGCAGCTGGCTGGGTGGTGTGCTCCCACCTGAAGAGCTCTTTGGGCTTTCTCTGGAGGACTGTGATGCTGATTCAAAGTCTATTCCTCAAAAGCACCACTTTCTTCTTCTTGAATGTATGGAACATTGCTCTCTGGTCCTCATACCCGCCAGCAGTCCTGGCTTACCTCCTGCTGCTGAAGAAACTTTTGGCCTCCTCATGGTGCAGATTTATAAGCAGTGTGATCTCTTCTCAGTCCAGACGTCACCACTCCAGGTCTTCTGGGAGACTAAGGTTGGAAATTGGAAAAGGGATCACAAAACGTGATAAAAGTAGAAAAAAATAAGGAGAGCAACAAGAAGGAACAGCTACAGAAGATGGAACAGTTAATGAGCAGAAAGGATAATGAGCCAGAAGACTTGGTGGAAGAAGGAGTAATAGCAGTAGCAAGAACTGCCAGACACCAACAAAAAAGGCATCACATAAAGCATTTGATCCTCTTTGTAGAACAAGCTCCACTCCAGGGTGGCATGGGTGCTCACAGTGGGTTGACAGCACTTCTCTTGCAAAGTAGTGTTACATACACCCCAGAGAACTTCACGGTAGCGTGGCTCACCCTTGGGATCAGAGCTGAATGTCCCACCAAGTTCTGATTTGCCTTTGGAGAGAGCTCCCTAGTGGATCTCCTCGTGCTCCAGAAATGCTCTGAAGGTGAACTAGTGTCCCCCAGAAATTGGAGACAACCAGAGAACTATTGTAAAACCACTCTATTGCTCCAAACAAAAATAGCAGCATAGTAGCTGAAGAAGGCAAGAGAAGCAAAGCTACTGTCAGTGACCTTAAATAGATTAAAAATATGTAGGGGAAAAAAAACCCTAAGAAAGAAAGAAGAAAAAAAAAAAGCTGAAAAATAACCAGGTTTTTGCTTTAGTTTGTTGTTTTTTTTCTTAATACTCTGCTATTTATTACTATTATACCTTCAGCAATTCCACAAGCTTCAGCTAACATCAGTTGATTCTCTACTTAAGAGTACTGAAACACAGCTTGCCCAATGATGACCAAATTACATGGGAAGAACTACATTTAATAAGACAAATGATTTATGAAGCTATTGTTTCCTAGGTTCTCACAAATAACCTTAGCTAGTGATTAACAAATCATCTATCCTCTGCTCTGTTATCATCATGCAGAATAGCCTCTCTAAAGTGGCCATTTAGGGGCATAATCCTTCAGAAAGGCAGGATAGCTTCAGACAGGGGCAAGTAATTCTAGCATATGAGCAAAACATATGACATTGTCCTTCCATGTGCATGGAAAAGTTTCTTTTCACCATTCAGAACTGAAAAGTTCCAGTGCTATTATTCCCAGCTTGCAGTTCTGCCTCATCCCTTTGCAATGGGCTGGAAGTGTCCTGTTTGAGGAAGACTGCTTTCCAACAGCAGACACCTGCACCAGGACTTAGTGTCTTTCTGTCTCTGAATTTACTGTTCTCCCTGAAAAAGCACTTTGATCTTGTGGTGCTTCACCATTTGTCATGCTGTACCCCTGTCAGAAGGGAATGGTGGAACTTGAGACCTTCTTGTTGGCTGGTTTTAGGTGTAAGGTTCAGTCGGTTCCGTTTTAGCATACAGATGAGCTTTCTTGACCTTAACAAGTCTGCACTTTAAATAATGCTTAAATAGCATTGTAGTGGGTTGCACGCAGTTTACTTATGGAAACTACAAGGAAACTAGACAGCTTTTCAATTCGTGTATCAAAGATAAAGAGACTTACACATAAAAGGGTGAATTATTTTGATTTGTAGTTTTCAAGCTACTACACATTCACCAACATAAATGCTCCTTCATCTTTGGTTTCTGATAGTTCATATCAGGTTCAGTGGCCCAGATTTTCAGAAGTGACAGTTCTGGATGCCAGTATTTCTCAGTGCCAACCAAAAGAGCCTTAAAGATGCCAGATATTGTTAAGATATTGTGATCTTTGGAAAACTGGGTATTATTAATCTCTCTTAAACAAGGCACCCCAAAGTGACAGCATGGAAAACCACCAGAGGTGGATTTTCCAGAGGGATAAAGTTCTTTTCCTCACCACACCATCCCTTCTGGGGATGCTCATGCCGGTCTACACAGCATCAGCTGTTCCCCATCACCATTCAAATTCCCTACAGAACCAAAATTGCCAGTCCTTTTCAACACTCTCAACTGCTGAACATCCTATGCAACCTATAAAAAGAGCTCATTTCCTTAGCTTTATCAGCTTTTAATTTGCTATCAAAGTCTTCTAAGGCTCAATTCTGGACAGCTAAAATCTAGCTGTATGGTATTTGAGGGAGAGGAGAGAAGAAACCCTATCCCATTATCCGCATTATCCAGTTCCCCTTGGATGTCTTCCATGTACTTGGAGGAGCAAAGCCTCACTCTTGAGGCTTCACATTGCAGCCACCTCCTTTTTGGCAGAATAAAGGTGGATGTGGCTCCCTTCAAAGACAATCAATGTGACTTCTTTAATCAATGTAGAAGGTCACTACTGTACCACCATCAAATAGAGTTGGGTACAATTCTCGCTGAGTCCTAAATGTTTATGGGGGGCTCAAGTTGCAGCGGGTGCTGGAAAAAGTCTTTTCTGGTATCTCAGCACATCTCCTATTCCTAGGACCTTTATAAGTGTTTAAGAACAAATAAGTACATCCAGGCTTCTGAGATACAATGAAGTATGCAAAATGAAACCCCGGATTACACAAAACAGACTTTTGTGTTTCATTCAGGCTATGAAGACATCCCATTTTTGCTCAGAGAGGTCTTTGTGAAGGTAGGTCACGTTTTGAGTAAATTTAAAATGATTTCAAATTTCACATCAGGATAATCTACAAAATTTCAGTAAGGTCACAAAACAGAAATCTGCATTTCATGGGACTGCTGACCTGAGCAAGGCACATGCAGAAACATTCAGATAAAGTCAAGATATAAAGCTTGCCCAAACACGACTATCAATTCAAAACGTTGAATTCTCCCCCTATTAAAATAATTATTGCCACAACTGGAACCGTTATCAAAGCCCACTAAAGTCAAGGGTAACATTTCCATTGATTTCCAAGGAGTTTGGATCGGATCCTAAATCACCTTGTCACACTGCAGCAAAACCCAACCTCACTGCAGTGGACATACCTGATTTCTTACGCTGCCACTCCATCCATTCAAACACACTGCAGGTGCAGTCTGGGATGTTTCAATAAATAAACACTGTTTTATCAAAATCAGCAAAGCTGAATACTGCTCCTTGTTACTAAGTTAGGACAACTAATGAACATGTATTTCCTTAAGAGCATTTGTCTGCTTTAATCAAATCCAAATGCCAAAAATTCTTGTTCTATCAGCTTGGTGTCTTCCTGCCCAAGCGTAGGCTGGGGCTGGCTATCAGCTTATGAAGTGAACAAGGACCTCACACTATTTTTTGTTGGAGGTACAAAGGCTTCTTTTACAGCTGAAAATAATTCAACAAAACCTGGTTAGGTAATGGCTTGACAGCTCCCGTGTATGGAAGAAAGAAAGAAGGGAAGGAAAGGAAAAAGGCAGGTTGGCAAGAAGAGAAGGAAGAAAGGAGTGAAGGAATGCTTCGTTTGTTAATGACAAGTCACCAAACCCTTCTTTAACCTCTCGCCTCCTCTCAACAAAATCATCCACCTACAAATTAAAATCATCTCCCGACACAAATTATTTTCTTAGGAAGTTCTGTAATGTGAATTGCCACATGCACTAGGAAATCATTTTAAAAATAAGACATAGAGATTCTCTTTTCCCTCAGCAAATCAAAACAGAAGTCTATATCTGAGACGAATTTCTGTGAAGAACAGAAAATCCTCTGGAGCTGGTACTGAAGTAGGTGCCCTAAACAAGCCTACAAGAGCATAATGAAGCAATGATTTATTGCGCGCTATGCAACTCTTACTGCTGTGCAGTATGTTGCAAGAACAAGCAAAAAGGGAGAGGCAGCAGTCATACAGCCTCCTCCTCGTGTGTTTCTGGATATTACCAGCTTTGTGTGTGACCGTGTGACACTGAGACATGGATGCAGCCACGCTGAATTGCATCTCAGAGTTAGAGTTGCACCATCTCCCCACCTGAGAAAGGTAAGAAATAAAAAACTGCATTCGGATACTGTGAAGAGTTGCTTAAATACCAAATGTAATTTGGGTTGGATGTGTTATAGCTCTATTTGCACAAGAGGGATTTTCTGGAATGTTTTCATTAGGAGGTTAAATCCTGTATCTTCCAGAGTCAACGGCAAATCTTCCCATGGTTTCAAAAAGAGCAACTTTCCATCCACCCCATTTAAAATGCATTAGTGTCTTGTTACAGATAGCAAATTCTGCACACAAACAAAGTTATTAGAAAATCTTGGTCCTAAAGAATTACAATCAATTAAATAAGGAGCAGAAACATGCAACACAACTGGTATTGCACCAATCAATTACATCACTCAGTCAATTAATTTGCAATTAGTTGTGCTTTTTTTGCAATTTAAAATTCACTTGGTTTCTTGTAATGACTGCTGGATTGCTTGCAGTTCTACCCAAGTTTCTCCCATATTCTTCAATTGAAAAAAAAAAAAAAAAAAAATCAATGTAAATAAGAGCTAGTCTTCAAATGTGTTTGGTGAGTTATTTATAATAAATAAATGTGAAAAAAATTACCTGCAGACTACTTATGCTCCCCCCCCCAACATGCACACAAAAAGGCTAAATCAGTGAAATAAATTAATTGCTATGAATTATTCAGCTCTACCTGTGGCAATGAAAAATAGCAAGAGCATTAGATTTCTTCTTTGTGTACTAAGCCTCTAATTTATAGAGAATGCATATTAATAAAACACAGGATATTCATCAATATTCAAGTCACTGGCTGCCTGGCTATTTAATCTAAAATTACCAGCCAGCTCAAAACTCTTACTAGTTAATCATGCCATCTAAGCTATTCCGATATTGATGGTTAACATTAATTGCCCAACTGCCATTTATAAAATCCTCTCTACATCTTCCTTTTGCCTAGCAAAGCCCTTCAAGCGTGCTTAACTTTAGGAAGAAGCTGGAGAATGCCAGTTCATCTGGGCCACTCTACAGCCCCAATGGTTGGATGTTTTGCATGAAAAGGTGTCATCTCCCACTGCTTTTGCATCTCTGCTGCACACGTTAACACAACCAAAAGCCAAAAATAGCTATACCTGTGGGCACAAGGAGGATATAAAGAGAAATCCTAGCTCTGATGCAGTTGGACCTTTGACTTCCATGGCCAT